GCGCGTCGTCGTAGACACAATGCCAGTACAGAGCAGCGCTCAGCCAGCTTCGCAACGTCGAGCAAGAATCATCGTCAACGAGTGAAGACAGCATCGACGTAAGACATAATGAATGTCAATGCCAGGGAGGTCAATGCTTAAGTAGCGTTGACTCGGGGCCTGGACCCCGGATGCTGCAACCTGTAGCCGTCCAGATCTTGATGCAAACGAAGGCCCTGATTGGCCTGAAACTGAATTCCCTTCGGCCTGGATGCTTGTCACGTGCGCACAACAAGTGAGTGTATCCAACCAATGGCCTGTGTACGGTACCTTTGACTCTACAGTTGACTTTGACCCTTGACTTTCTTGGGTGCACAGTTTGGTCACACAGCCAAACGCGATAGACTCAGACCTGGGCGTGTCGTGGTCACACAGCCCAGTGCAGACCAACTTTGGTCTGCATTGCCTGGGGCTGAGTTCTGGGCCCCAGACTACTTCTGAACAGGGTTACTGCATTCCTGCTGGCCCATTTTCGAGTTCCACCGCATAAATATTTAAGACTTTAACCCTCGTTCATAAGCAGCGACAATATCAGGAGTAGTTTCAATTAGTTCTCGTTTACTAAACCATCTGTCCTCAGATGGTGCCTGAGACTTAAAACGTACCTTGAACTGCTTCTGAGGTCGCCCACGTCCTCCCGTAGAGAAGTAACCATGCTCTATGATTCGGTCTACCTCATATCCGCCATCCATGTTTAGTGGAATCATAGAAGGTCTATGTGGAAACTCATTTCCTTCTACATACAGTAACAATTTGGACGCGTGAAAGACAGGGTATGTTTTGAGATGAGGGGGGATATCAATGGGATAAGATGGTCCCTCTGCATCTCTAATTACTTTGAGAACTTCCTAGGGTCCAAAGTAGACAGGCAACAGTTTTTGAGATACATCTTTTTTTAATGAAAACTCTTTGGATTTAACCCAGACCAGATCAGCCTCTTTGAATGTGGATGGTCGTCTATGCTTATTGGCTTGTTCAATCATTTGGTTTTGAGCTTTCTTTAAGTTTTCTTTTACTTTCTTTATGTCTTCTTGAAATAAAACTGCATATTCTCGTGTCCCTGGAGGTAGCCGAAGGAATTGGTTCCTTGTTAACACATCAATGGGACGCCTAGGTTTCCATCCCTCATTTGGTGCGTTAGGCGTTCGTCTTGTAGCGGTGTGGACACTGCTATTATATGCATTGACTATCTTGGGTAAGTTCTCATCCCAATCAATTTGATCAGGTCTTACATACATGCGCAAGAGTTGTTGGCACAATCGGTTCATTTGTTTACTTTGCCCATTCTTTTCAGGGTGTCGCCCTGACAACATGGTCAAACGTGTGCCGTATGCCTCCATCAGCTTTTGCCATGGCATACTTGTGAACCTGACATCTCGATCAGACACAATGGATAAAGGAAAACGATACTCAGTTACCAATTTCACCTGAAATTTCTGGATCACAAGTTCAGTCCTTGCTTCAACAGGTAAGGGAATAAACATAGTTTTTGCACTAGGTTAGCTGAGGTTTTTCTACACCCGAAATGACCAGTTGCATCGTAAGACTCACCTAGAAACAAACTACGCAAAGATTCACTATTGGGAACACAATCTCTTATTCCCTGCCTTTTCAAGAAACAGTAAGCCGTCAACCATCGTAAATTCATCAGAAGGTATCTTATTCTTCTCTTCGAACTTATGGATGATCTCAGAGATAACTATATCTTGCTGGTAGGCGTCCACCAACGATCGAGTCAGATCATTAGATATGTCAAATTCATTTACTAGCGCGCCCAGGTAATCTGCCCGTCGAGATAGTGCATCCGCCACGTTGTTGTACTCTCCTTTGATATGATAAAGTTGATAGTCATACATGTTTATCACTTGTATCCATCTCTTGAGTGCATCTGAGAGTACCGGTTGCGTTTTGATCCAGTGCAGGGTCTCATGGTCAGATCTTACATAGAAAAATCTCAAGGAGATAATGCCTCCAATAGACCAGCGCTCGGTAAAGGGCATAGAGCTCACCCTCGTAGGTAGACCTGGCTAGATTCTGAGATGGCATCTTCTTACTCACGTACTCGATAGGTTTCAACTTGGGGCCCTCCTTTTGCGCAAGGACCGCGCCTATGCCATATTGGTTGGCGTCTGTGGTCACTACAAATGGCTTATCAGGATCTGGAAGTTTAAAGAACCTCATAGTGTGCCAGGGCATACTTCAGTTTCCTGAAGGCCACCTCACACTCTTCAGTCGACTCCCAAGGGGTTAGTCGAGTTGGATCTGTTAATGGGGAAGCTATAGTACTATAGTTCTTTACGAACCGACGATAGTAGCCCGTCATCCCCCAAAACGATCTGACCTCACTAACAGTCTGAGGTCTGGGCCAGTCACGTATGCTGGCCACCTTAGCATCATCTGGCCTCAATCCATCCGCTGAGATTTCATGACCCGAGTACAAGATCTTGGTGCGACCGAACTCGCATTTCTCCAAGTTAACCTTCTACTGGTGCTGTCTTAGGAGACCTAACACTATTTTCAAGTGCTCAGCGTGGTCCTCTACAATCCTAAAGATATGAATATCCTCGAGGTACACGACGATAAACTTGTCTAAGTGATCATGAAATATCCTGTTCATCGCGTGTTGGAATGTACCAGGTGCATTGCATAGGCCAAAGGGCATCACCACAAACTCGTACAGACCGGACCTGGTCTGAAATGCGGTTTTGTGCTGGTGCTCAGGTCTGATGGCAATTTGATGGTATCTGGACTTCAGATCTATCTTGGTGAAGTATCGACATCCCTGCACTCTATCGAGGAGGTCGTCGATTTGGGGAAGTGGCTCCGCGTTCTTAACGGTGATGGCATTGAGGCCCCTATAGTCATTGCACATCCTTAGGGTACCTCCCTTCTTTGGGACAAATAAGACTGGCGCACCGAAAGGGGAGGTACTAGGCCGAATCCATCCGTTTTCTGCGAGATCCTTGAGCTGGTGGAGGAGCTCATCCAACTTCGCAAGAGACATCCTATAGATTCGTCCTCTAGGCAAAAAAAAAAAAAAAAAAAAAAAAAAAAGATTTGTCCTCTAGGCACCTTGCTACCTGGGACCTCTATTGCATGGACCACCTCCCTTTCTACCATGCCTGTGGGCTCCTAAAACAGGTTGGAATATTGTGCGACGACCGATTTTATCTGGGTGTTTTAAAGGCCTCCCCTTTCTCAGAGACAAAAACTAGATACATGCCCTCCTCGCGATTCTAGTTGTTGTAGTTATAGAAAGAGGAAGCACACATGCAGCCGTAGTTCTCCACTAGACTGCTAACCTTATACTTTTGCAGTCTAACGGTCCTACTGTTTGGCAGCTTGTGTATCAACACCTTCCTATCTCAATCAAACTGAGGCTGAGCAACCTCGTGGTATTACATGCCTAATAACATGTTGAAGGGTAGTTCGTCGCTAACGAGGAATGAGATTTTATGTCTCACTTCCCCTCGTCCATAAGAAAAAGAATAGACTACGTCCTTGACACAGTCCTTTACTATCATTTGGTGCTTGTTGGCTAGTGTAGAAGCTATAGTTCTGCTAAGCTGCTGCACTTGGTCCCCTAAGCGCAGTCTATCCACACAAGCGTGACTGATGAAGTTTCGTATAGAGCCTATGTCTGCGAAGGCGCCCACCTTGCGGCCGCCTACATCAACCTCTACCACAAAGTGTTCACCTTTTGGACCTTTACTAATCATCGCCCAAGAGTCTTTGGGGTCCTTCCCTGACCACGCAGTCTCTAACTCTTCTAAGGCCTCAGACACATCTCTCGAACAAAGCGTCGATGGGTCTGAACGTGTCTGAGGGGCGATACGTAAGTCACTGGCCCTGGCCAGCATGTGTAGTGGGGAAGGCAACATTACCACTTCAGCGCGAGTAAGACTGGCTAAAACTCCTACTGGCCCGAGGTGTTTCCCTGCAAAGTGCTCGCAGAAGCACCGCCAGGGTTCGAAGATAGTCCCACCACCGTTGGAGAGGCGACCCTCGTTAGGACTTTCTTGCCTCGGCACGTTCGGGACGTGTGGCTATAATTGCCACAGTTCATATACGTACCCCTAGCAACTCGGTCCCTCCACACCTCATACTCCAAACCAAGTTTTACCCATGCGGGTGTTCCTTGGTCGCCCTGACCCGTAGATCGGCCTACCTTCTTTTTCCCGATCCCCCTAGCCTTTTCTTTGATAGGTGCCACGACTCCCCCATCCGAAGTCTCGCTGGCCCCATCGTGCTCTGTCTCTGCCCCAAGGTTTGGGAAGCCGTCAATTTTTGTCGCCTGACCATCGTGGTCGATGAACATTAATTGCCCTTTCTTCTTCCAGTCCCGAACTCTGATGCGCAAATCCCAACTTTGCCTCCATGTCTAAAGCCTTCTTGTTGAAGGAAGTGAAGTTGTGTTGTTCGACATGCGCTTCATCCACCAGCTTTATCCTAACCTCTGAAGGCAGACATCTAAGGTAATCCGTGAGGAGTACCTGCTGGTCATAGCGCACGCCAGGTACCACGAGTAGATGTTCTATGATATCCGTGAGCTCTCTCATATTCTTGTACCTTTTGGCACAAGGACTGTTGATTGCGTCTGTGGCCTTTTGAGCCCCTTGAGGGTGCCACCTGTTATACATGGACCGTGCGAATTCTTCCAATGTCTGGGCCTGGGCCCAGGCATCGAGGTTTTGACCGTAGCCCTGTTGTTGCACTAGGCCATGCAACCAGCGAGCTGCCGACCCCTCTAGAATGGAGGCAGCCCCTATAACTTCTTGCCCCGGCCTTGTAAGCTTGTGCCTCACATATGTAGGCACCGTCCTTACCTAGGTATCCAAGTCCTCATCCTTCTTCCTGTTGCCGGAGAAGGGTTTAGGACTAAGCAAGGGTATTTTGGGCATCCGCTGCATAGGTTGCATTGGCCCAGGAGATTGCTGCAGTGGCTGTTGCTGCACACTAACCTGGGCCTGGCTTGATAGTGGGACTATAGTAACCAGTATTGTCGATGGTACGACAGAGACTCTTAAGGACCGGACCACTAGTCGCCACATAACCACCTGGAGGGGGCATGCCAAACATAGGTGAGAATGAAGGCCCAATCGGCGACGACGTCATGGATGGACCCGCAACCGATGGGGGAGCTACAGCAAACTGAGGCTGCCTCATCACTGGACGAGGAGCATGTATTGCAACCATAATTCGTTCCTGGCTTGCCACTAGTTCAGCCAACACCTCCCGCCAAACAACCTGCGTCTCCGCCACATAGAGGAGGGAGTTCCGCAGTGCTTGCATAGCTGGATCTAATTTGGACTCATCACGTGCTTCCAACTTGGCTAGTTCTTGCAATCTACTACCTAGTCTAGCTTTTCTCATTATTGCTCTTCTTCTTCTCTCAACTGCCTCATCCAATTGCCGATATAGCTCATCCTGAAGTTCTTCTGCTTGGAGGATCTCATAATCCTCGCTCTTCTTGCCACTGTTCTCTCCCTAGCCTCTCTCCGCAGTCTTCTCTCGTCTCCTGGACCTAACTCTAGGAAAGTCGATGGTCGACTGAGAGCAGTTCTTTGAGTGACCCTAAGGTCATCCACTAACAACTCCTCACTACTGCTTGCATCACTCATGAGCTACGGTGTGTGTGATGTAAAGTAAAATCCACACTGAATCCTACCTCAACATGACACACAACTGATTTATGATACACAACTAACTTCGGTTGGCTGGACAGAAACAGTTACGTGGTTAGGTGTCAACCGATGTTAGATCCTACAGGGAATATTAAATCTATTTTTAGATTACTCTAATACAGATTGCAATGCAACAAAGAATATGCAACTCTATCTGCAACTGTCTGTCAATTGTTAGTCAAGTCCGTAAAACCTAAATAATCGAAAATAAAACAAATGCTCGCTGCAGAGATGTGTGCTGACTGGCTGTTTATCTAATTAATGCCACGGCGAACAATTGCCGGAATTCAACCCTTTCCCTGTATCACTCTTGAGTACTCACTTTGTGTCGACGTTCCTAGGCATCTGGTTGAGCAGCGTGTCTAAAGGTGTGCAATCCGGCCCAACCCTGTGCCCTAAGTCAATGCCGAACCTGCCAGCCCCTGCACTTTATTTGTCCTCGCATGCAACAAACCTTACACCCGGTTTGATCTGGCTGATCAGGAGGCATTTAAGGAGATCCCTTGTAAATCCTTAGGAGTTGTTTAACATCGCAGACAGGACGACGATCACAGCCAGAATCAACACCGAGTCCCCGCCAGAAATATTTAAAGACGATCTGGTAAGTGTCTGTTCAAAGGGCTGGCATGCCCTGCATGACCTCTATTGCGCAGCAGTGGTACCAAGGACTTGCGGCAAAGCATGCGTGTACTAGTCCCAGCGGGTTGGCATGGTGATTGTGACCCGTGCTTCGTCCAGGGCCCTTCAGAGGCAATCTCCCACCAGCTTGCTGCCCAGGAAGAACGACTCTCAAGGTTGAGCGCTCGCGACACCTCACATTGAGAGGACTCTCAAGACAGAACTCACTTCCTCACGGTAAGAAGCAATGTAGAGGGTAGATAAGGAAGGAAGCAATGTACCTCATAATGCTGCCCCCAACCACAGATTTCTCACCGGCAACCTGACGTGCATTTATGATGCCTCGGCACAATCAACAACAGAATGCAGTTCCACTTCGGCTTAAATGCCAGATCAGAGAACTCTCATTATCCAGCGTACACCCGTATTGTCACCACACAGCTTCCTGGAGTGCCCACACGACCCTGGGCTGCCTTACGTCCAACGCCGAAGCCTTATCACTGCCCCACACCTCAAGCGAAGCACCGAACAGCTATTGCGAAGAACCAATGAGCACAGTTCGAACCAGCTCCGATACCGAATTGCAAGGAAAATGAGCGCTAGCGAGATGACAATATACGGATTGCACAATTGCATTGAAAGCCAGATCGTATCACAGTGTTCAGAAAGCAGCATTGCACCAATATGACACCAATGGAGAATCGTAGCACTGAAGACCAATGTCAATGAGAGCTTGCTCTCGCCACCACCAACATATGTATCCAGTCCATATCTCCCTACTTGTCGCTCGGCGCCCTGCCTACTCCCTACACAGCTACTACTAGCCTACTAATTGACAATGCAGCTGTTGACGTCGCACATGCAGATGATAGCCAATACCAGGTATGTGCCCTCACATCATCATCATCATCATCCTTCTCTCTCTCCCTTGTCTTACTCCCATGTCTTCCCTCTTGTATGCCCAAAGACCACCCCTGCGCCTCACTGTACATCCAAGCCCGCCAGCTATGGAGGCTGGGCTATGGTGCTGTCCTCAGCAGCGCCCTCCTCCTTGCATGACCGCACGTGCTTACACTTTGCCTCTCAGCGCTAGCAGCAGCCCACGAGCTTCAGCTCCAGCAATGCTACTGCCAGCATGCGATTGCCCGAATGCATGGCCAGGCAGCGAGCTCTTTCCTATATGGAACTAGCCTGCCTCATTCGGCAGCCTGGCTGGACTGTCCTGGGCCCAGAAGCTTCCGGTAGGCCCCAGGATGCTGCGCCTCTCTTGCAGCTACTGGGCCTCATTCGGTTGGGCCTCCCAACGGTCTGGGTATGAGGCTGCCATTCTCGTCCAGGGCCTGCATCGTTTTGGAAAGGCCTGGAAGGCCGTCGAAAGTCTCGCTGCTCGGCCTGTGTTTTCCTCAACCAACTGGCGCGGCGAAACTGCCTGGACCCCAAATGCGAAATTGACACCCGAGGGCCTCTCGTAATTTGTTAGGCCCGCCTTCACTTAGGGCGGGCACAGATGAAACAGGGGCCCTTAGGCCTGCCGAGGACTGAGATCCTCACAAAAACATGTAGATAGCTTTAACAATTCTGGCAGTAAAATTTTGCAGGTTTGCTCTATGTCGGGCCCATTTGCCCAAAACTCTTAGCTTTGTGATTGCTACTGCTAGTCTGATCATGCATATGGGGGACCTGGTGTCTTAAAAACAAGGTCAGACCTAACTATTCGACCGTGGTGAAACAGACTGATGGCGGCCCAAACAGGGGCTGAATAGGCAGCAATTAGATCCGGGGTCTTTAATTGGTTCAACCCATACCTGCGGTGCATCGCGTCTAATAGATCCGGGGCCACGTATTTCTCGTCTAATAGTCTTTTTCCCGAAGGACCCCAGCAGTGCATCTGCAAGGGTCCGAACATCTCGAGAGATGTTCAGCAAATTTTGTGTGAGAGCGGAGCAGGCCAGCAATATATATTCTGGATCTGAAGTCAGGTGTGTTTTCCAGGGGTTATGGGTTACAACTTACAAGTTACAACGACTAGTACCATAGATCTCTCTTTCTTTTCTTTCGATTTCCTACGAACAGTGGCCGTAAGGGCCTTGCTCCACTCGCCACCACTTGCACAAAAGACAAAACATATGGCGGCGTATGATTCCATGTTCTAGCAGAAGATTCTTTCTAGTTTTGCACATTTGGTGAGTAGTGGATGGAAGCCGTGAAAAGCACGTGGTGAGTTGGCCTGCTACTGCCCGTGTGGTCAGTGGTCCCATAACTGCTGAAACACGGACCTTAATGTGAACCAACACCATATATACTTTGTGTGCCCTAACCCCAGTTAGGGTATGAGCATTGCCTCTTTCATGGTGTGGAGGCCCTTGCTAATTCTCTGCAGGGGCCTCTCGGATAACCCGCAGGGGTTTCCTTATTAATGTTAAGGAGCTATTTGTTTGCTCTCTCTCTCTCTCTCTCTCTCTCTCTCTCTCTCTCTCTCTCTCTCTCTCTCTCTCTCTCTCTCTCTCTCTTGCGCGTGCGCGTGCGTGTGTTGTCCCACATCACAGCCGCTTCTTTCTTTCTTTTTTTTTTTTTTTTTTGCGCATCGGTGACCAGCGCAGCACATGGCGGGCCGCACACTTGCGCCACAGGTATGGTTCAACCTCAATAGTTAAACCAGCAGTAGCTGGCCGAACTATCGGCTGCGGAAAAAAATAGAGTAAAAACGTTTCTAGTCTGATGACTTTGGGTGCTCCTGTAGTAGCCCGTACGTTTCCTAAAATCGCGGCGCGTTAACGGGCACCACTCTAGGAAGTACTGGTGGTTTAAACCACCAGATTACGGACCCCTGCTGTTCACCAAAACACTGCGACCGTGGCAAGATGAACAGTGATCTGGAATGGCAGGTTCAGAGGGAAAAGGCGTGTGGGCCCAAAAAGAATGGATTGAAAGCGAAATTGGAAAAAGAAAGAGAACATATGAGAAAAAACTGGGCAGTCTGGGCAGACGTCCTGCCTTGCTGGCAGGGCACTAATCTTACAAAGAAACAAAACCAAAAATAAAAAAAGGGAAACAAAGACCTAATATCCATCTTATACATTCTCGAAAGTAGTAGTGTGAGTATGCCCTGAGTGAGGGCATTCCCAAGAATGTGAAATTGTGAATAGGTGAAAAAATTCAAAAAAACATTAAAATCTAGGCTGGGCCGGCTCCCGGCCGGGCGGACCCCGGCCGGTTGGGCCCGGGGGGGCCTGGGACTGAACCCGGCGACACAAAAACATGGCAAGGATTTTTTTTTCCCCCCCCCCCCGAAGGTAGGGCTGTGCTGCACTGCACTAGAGGACCCCGAATCTGCAATAAAAA